TTAGTGGTGGCCTCTCCCGTCCGCATTTTGCCATCCGGTCATAGGGTCCCCCCCACACTTTTTGGCACATTCTGAATACACCCACTAAAACAACCTATTTTCAACATTCAAATTCAATCACCCAACCAATCCAACACCAAAAACACATATTCATATACCCATCTTCATTTCTTACCCCATCTCAACATCACCCTTATGCTCATTCAATAACAACAATCATAACTACATACCACCTCAACAAATCCCACCAAAAAAACCCAAGCTACATACCAACATTTTTCCATTCCCAAGATCGCAACCCCAAGATCTCAATAATTTCTCCCTTGATCCAACCTGAGACCCTTTCCCATTTCCAACAAATACGAACAGTCTAAAAAAGAACCCCAAATTCTCTGTTACCCTCATCACACCAAAACGAAAGAACACCACCTTTCCCGCCCAAACGCCCCAAAATATGGATGGCAATATGCGGACGGGTGAGGCTAATGTCCGTAATTTCTGGGGGCATCAGCCTTGCCCCGCTTCGTCTTCATTATCTTCAACTTCAGTCAGTGCGCCTTGCATGTTTAACAGGTTCATGCGCATTGGTGTTGCCACTTGCATTTGACATTGTATTGTGTCGAAGAAAGAAGGCATTTGGACGCCGATAAGCATCATTTGATTGCTCCACTGCATGTTCATATCTCAAAGAGCATCCTGTTTGCAATTCGCACTTTTGATTGGCGCAACATGGCGTCTCTTGTCTTCAGTCTTGCTGATGGGCGAGTGCGCGCCTTTGCCTTTGAGAGTGGTGATGTGATCGAGGACTTTAACTCCTTGGAACAGTGGGAGGTGACAAACGACACTGATCGCCTTCAGTCCATCCTGTCAAAGATGACCATTGCCAAGATTGACTCCACCCTTCGATCCTTGAATTTCTCCACGCGCAAGGGTTGCACCAAGGCGGTCATGATTCGCTCGTTTCTGGAGCAATGGGAGCGCATCAAGGTTGGTGCATTGGCGACCCATGCGCACAACCAAGCAATGGCATATCTTCAGAATGAGGCGACGGCAAACGCCCCTGCGTCTTCTTCCAATGTTGCCACTGGGTCAGACGGTTCTTCCTTCACGCCCTTCAATGGATATGCCCACCGTTTGGCAGATGAGGTGAATGCTGACCCTAGCACCAACCTTCTGGGGAACAGTGAGGTGGATGATCTCATCACTCAAGCACGTGAGATGGGATGGAAGATCAATGTGATTCGTCGTGCCAATATGCCTAATGTGCGGACCAACAATGAGAAGAGCGAGGACAGCGAGAGTGAGAAGAGCGAGGACAGGGAGAGTGAGAATGACTTCACGCTGGCAGACTTCCTTGAGACGAACACCTTTGACGAGGATGACACCCACTTGTTCTACCAGTTCTTCTTGGAGGATGGCACGGACTTTATCACCAAGACTGTTCGTGTGATGGATTGGAAGAGGAATTTCAAATTGTTGGAATTCAAGGCGTTGGCGTCAACCACCATCTCATTCCTGAAGAACATGATTTGTGATGGCATCAACGAGATGCGCCGAACCAAGCACATCGGTGGCAATGGCATGACCATTCGTGACTTCAACCTCATCAACAACGGCGTGAAGATGCATGATGATGATGTGCTTGACAACTTCCAAGACGACGAGGGTGAGAATGACCACGTCACAGTGTACCTTCGTCTTGTTCTTCGTGGCGGTGGCAAGATGTTGGGGGCGAAGAAGGCATCCATCACCAAGAAAACCATCATTGAAGAGAAGAAGAAGGATGTTCTTGTCAAGGTGATGAATGTGAATATCGTCAACATGGTTGTGGAGAAGAAGACGATTGAAGAAGCGGGGCAGTCAATGACAACCCTTTATAACTGTGCCGAGACCGACGGCATGACCGCCTTCAAGTATCTGCTCCAGAAACTCAGCACAAGGAACCTTGGAGACAGGAAGTCCTCGCCCGCCATTGATGCCCTCAATGCAACCCATGTGGACATGAGGTTGGTCAAGCTTGGTGACATGATGCTTAGGGACACTTACCCGTCTCTCTTCACTCTCTCCGACGAGGTGAGCGGAATGCTTGAAAGCGCAGAGTTAACGTTCGATTACATTTTGCACTGCGCCTTTCTCAAGGAAAGCGGTTCCATGAACTGGGCAGAGGTTAAGAGGGCCATTGAGGATGAGCAGGTCCGTCGTTCTCCGCCTGCTGATATTGCAGGTGAAGACATGTCCTTGTAAATCATGCCTCTGATGAACACAGCCTCCAAATGGAAACGCGATGAGGCATCCAATTTACTTGTTAAGCGGTATGATTTCGAAGCCACTCTGGATATTGTTTGTATCCACCTTGGATATTGTTTGTATCCACCTTGGATATTGTTTGTATCCACCTTGGATATTGTTTGTATCCACCTTGGATATTGTTTGTATCCACCTTGGATATTGTTTGTATCCACCTTGGATATTGTTTGTATCAAACATGGATTTCATAAATCCCTATCAGATTTCAAATATCCACTCGAGGTATACTTCATATCCATTTTGACCATGCCTCAGTTGGAATTCCAAGTACAGGAGGGAGACTGTGTGGCGAGACAGTTGCCATTTTCGCTGAGTGGTCATCGCGTGCTTGACACATGGCACCTTGGAACGCTGGAAAAAACTGTCCGTCTCATCATACCAGCAACAAAGTATTTTGTCGACTTGAAACCACATGCTACTTGCATCGCCCAGACACATGGCAGGTTGATGACGAGCGCTACACGCATTGGTGACCAAGTTGGGCGGTGGGTGGACGGGGGGCTTTTGTATAAATCAAACAACCATGAAAATATCACTAATTAGATTTTGGGGTATTCTATATAAATCATGTTGTTTATGTATTATAGGGTTTGCTCCCCATTGGTGTCGGGATCCAGCTGGAAGCCGTTGAGCCGTTTCAAGATGCCTCCCATCAACCACGTTCCCACAATCTTTTTGACATAGGGGTTTTGGTTTCCATTTCGTTAGGTTAGTCCAGATCCTAGTTCTTTTCCTGTATCTCATCCCATATTTGCAATAGTCAACATCAAAAAAAGGTAACCCTTTCATAAACTCCTGTTCTTTCAACAGTCCAGTTTGGGGATTTTCAATAAACCAATAACGGGGCTTAAAATAATCAATGATCTCAAGGGTCTTCAAAACAATGGAATTTGCGTAATCTATTTTACGGATCCCTGTCGTCTTGGCCCTACTGTATTCGGTGCATGGGGGCGAACTCCAAATAACATCAAAGTGGTCCCTGTCAAACTGTTTGTAATCCCATTTCAAAATATCAGTATTTATATCAGCATTTTTCAAATCCAATGAAATGACATTGAACCCCAGATCGCGGGCGATGCGACCGACCGACCCTGTCCCACTAAACAGTTCTAATAGATTCATCAGCTATTAGAACCGTTTAGATATTATTTTTTCAAACCTTCAGAATCTCTGACCTCAAGTAGGGGCGGTTCATCCCTTCAACAGAATAATAATCTTGACCAAGTTTTTTTTCAACCCTTGAAACCTTGTATTTGACACTGCTCCAGTTGCTCGTTCTTTCTTTCTCGGAAATCCATTTTTTGCGGTATATTTTGACCTCATCGCCAACCCTAACAGGGGGATATTTACGGGTTTTGATTCTGTTCATCTCAAGCTTCATCTTGACCTCAAGATGGTTTCCCTTTTTGTGGGCATCGTTTGGAGTCATATCGTGGGCAGAATGATCCATTTTACTGTTGTATGTCAGCATGATCTCGGGGATATAATCAACCCATTGTATATTAACCTTTCCCTTTTTCTCGTCTGCATCAACCCTCTTGAAAAGCATGTCCTTGAACTTGCGAATGAAACGCTCGGCGAAATGGGGGTGCCCTCGTGTTTTATAGTTTTGGATCCCTTCGTCCTTGAAAAAATCAACAAGATCTTGGGTATTGAGACTCCCTTCATCATCCGAATAAATTAATTTGGGTTTCCCTCCCATTTTGTTTAATGCCTCCATGATCCCAGCCGTGATGTCAGCAGGTTGCTTGGATGCAATAGGCACCACCACGGCTTTGCGGGAAAATGCATCAAAAAGCAATAAGCCTATCCTATATTTTTGATTATCTAAATCATTTTTTGATATAAAAACAGATCCAATTGATATTCAAAGTTGATATCAGGGGCAATAAACGAATTGTATCCAGACAGTTGTTTTTTCCGTTCCACCTTCTCTTGAAACCACTCCTTGACATCTTGCATTGTTATGGATGCATCTTTCTTTTTTGCATCTTTGTAAGTGGTGGCGATGCTACCAAACCCAGCCTGATCGTAGTAGACCTCACTGATTATCTTGTCTTTTTCACTCATATATATAATACTATAAAATAAATATCAAAATATCAATATGTTATTTTATCACTGAAGCATCTATTACAAGAAGCACAGAAGGCAATGACATTATCCTTTGCATGGGGAAGATCATTGCATAACCTTTGACAAGTCAAATTAGAGTTTATATTGCCAGAATCCATTGACAACACGAAGCCACTGCAAGTGGGTACATTGCCATTTGACGTTGTCTCTTCAACATTCGGCTTAATAATTTTCTTTGTGGAATACCAAAGCATTTTTACGCACTGTCCTTGTATGTTATCACATGTCTTGAGCATAATAATTCAGTTTTATATCTTATTTGACACACTCCCCCCTGCCCCCCCCCCACACCCTCCCCCCCCCCCCCACTATAACTGCATTTTGCGTTTTTTGTCTTTTCGTTTTTTTATTACACTTTCATTTTAAAACACCACTACTGTGTTTGTAAAATTTTACTCTGTTTAAATCCCTTGCCCGAGTGATTCCCGTCCAAAGCCACTCACGAGTTATCAGATGATGGTTCCAATCAAATATCACGACATCATCATCTATAGAACAACCTTGAACAGAATGACAAGTATAACAGAAGGCAAAGATAAAATGGCTTCTCAAGATACCAATATGTAATGTTATCTCTTCTCGTGTTTTGATATTAGCAATGGTAATCCAAGGATCGGAAATATTAAAAGTCTCATACCTAAAATTCACATTTAACTTATAGGTTTTTGTCTTCCTATACTCTCTGCGTATCATGATCTCGCCGACTTCAAACTCATTTTGTTTGCCCTGTCGTTTCCTGATCTGCCTTGAAACCTCTCTACAAGTGTTATTTAAATATGCGACATTGCTTTCTGCTCCTGTGATGTCATCAGTATATTAAAATACTTATTGATGACATCATGTAGAGACAACTCATGCTCAAAGATGTCGGCATAAATGCTTTTAAGTTTATCCTTGTCCTCCTGAGTCTTCAATCGCTTGCACTCTTCCAAAAACAAATGATGAGGAAAAATGCTGTCAATACATTCATTCATATAAATCTCGTGTTTCTTAGTGTTAGTCAGTGCTTTTATGGGGCTCAACTGCTTGGCGTCACCGGTTGCCAACATTATTTTACTGTCCTTGAACTGCTCAACAAAGCCCTTGATTTTTGCCAATACAAAGGTATTATTAAAACAAATCTCGTCAAACACAATGACATCAAACATCGAATGATCGTATTTATCTAGCTTCTCGTCATTGACTGCTATACCGAAGAATTTATTTACAGTGACGCATTCCACTTCGCACTCCAGGCCCAGATTATTGGTAGGAACCACGAACAACACTTTATAACCCTTGAGTCTCTCCATGTTCTTGCAGATGGTGGATTACCCTGCTCCTGCGAATTTAGCCTTAATCATCAAGCACCTATATTTCTCAACAAGTTCAACCAATTCATTTTCATCATACTCATTAATGATGTTAACTCTCTTACTTTTGACAATCGGGATATCAACATATTCACACTTCTTCTGTTCATACAACTGCTTTCCTGTATGATGGATCTCATCGTGAGTCTTGGCTAATTTCCACCCACCGATCCCATCGTGAAAATCTAGCAACTGCTGAGTCTTTCTCAAACCAAACTTATTAAAACCCGAACAGTCCACGACAAAAGCGTCGCATTTGACACTCAATACCTTAACATTGTTCTCTGTCAATTTTTGATACGCGCATTGCATTTTGAAATTATGATACTGCAATAGCATTTCTTTAATAAAACGAAACCCATTGGACAACTCGCACCTATCAACCACATTCAGAATATAATATAAATTGTCGTTTTGTTCAGATACTTCTCTATCACGGCACCACATGCCATTATCATCATATTCCTCAACCCACTTGGCAGTATTCCTGCTCATCATGTTTAACTTCCCCCCTGCATCTGCCTGAAGGCTGATCGCCTCATTGAGATCATTAAAAACGAATGATCTCTGACTGCTGTTCTTACTTTTTTCCAACAAGCCAAAAATCGAGTTGGCTATTATTTTTTTAATTGCCTTGTCTTCTTCAATATTTTCGCTTATTCGCTTTCCCCAGAGTTCCTCAACCAACATTTTATTATCTACCTTGTGAATGAAATGTGGCTGTTTGTAGTGAGTAATGGACAACTCGCCGGATGCAACAAGTGGCATAAAATGCTTAAGAAACATACCATAAACTATATTAGTATCATTATTAAAAAACAGATTGCGATGTGTCAGTTCTGCGTTTACCAAATATATATTTACATCCTTGATCTTACATTTACTATTATAAGCTTTCCAATTATCAAACTGATTAAAAACTCCGACTCTGGTAATCGTATTAAATGCATCTGTAAACGCTTTGTTCATGTCGATCTCCTGTTTTGGAACATCCAATTTATCCAAGCCCTTGAATAACTCGCCTTGCGGGACGATGGTTCTATAATTATTTAAAACTTGTATATCGATAGGACTGTAATAAGACTTGTGATTTGGATTGAATAATTTCTTTTTGAATGTAAACATCGCTTCAGTCATATTGTTGTAAACCGTTTCTCTGTCTACTGTGATGTCACTATTGGTTTGGTCATCGACCAAACACTGCGACCTAATATTTAGATATACATGATTGAAGTCCGCCCTCAATTCTGAAAAAGTCCCTGCTTTGTGAATAATCCTGCATTCATACCCGATATTTTTGAAATCGCAAAATAATTTATTTAGATCATTCTCTCTATGAACTAAATCTAAAAAGTTCTTTTCCTGTTTGTCGGTTCTGTTCGCAATTGTTGCCTTAACCATTTCAAAAATGTCATCAATAGTAGAAAGCATTTTGCAAATCGATGGCTT